ATGAGTTAAATCGGTTTGATTTTGTTGAAATTGATGACCTTCTGTCTGAAGCAGTTGTATTATGGCAAAAAATTTAAACATATACTATTAACATAAAGAAAAAATTATACAATACTCCGTAAGAAAATGTAGCTAGAGTGGTTCTAACTAAAGTGCTTCAACCGACTTAGCTAAAATAGTGTAACCCCAGCGTTACTTAAAGCCTAATGTTAGCACTCAAATTGGCAGAGCCAACTGAATCTTAGCTGAAGTAGATGAATTAGCTGAAATTCGTTGAATTGTGGAAAATTTATACGTAGTACATAAAATGTTGTATTTATACGTAGTACATGAAAGTAGCTAGTGTAATCTACAAAATGCGTCAAATCTCTCTATGTATAAAATTTATACGTAGTACATAAAATAGTGCATATTATTCATTCGCAAAGCCTTCTACAAAAAAAATGAATTACAAAATTAATAAGTCATTGAGGAGGCAGTCTAGCCCAGCTGGTAGCAGCGCGACTCACTCTCTCTTATGGGAGATCCCGAGTTCAATTCTCAATGCCTCTAGTTTACCTCGGGCCCCCAACTCCCCCTCCCCTCCAAAGCCCTTTGGGGTAAAAAAAAATAACAAAGTCACTTGTATATTTAATGATATTATTTATAAGTGATTTTTAAATTGTGAAATTTGTTTTTGGAAGAATTTTAGGCATGAATTAATATAACTGATTAAAGGGTTTGACAAAATTTCTGAAGTGCGTGGATGGGATAATGTATAGAATTTATAGATAGTAAATAGTATACCACAAATCTAGAAGAGTTTTGTGCATTAAACTCATACCGAGTATTTATATGCATGCAGAGGGATCAGGTGATGGAGATAATGCAAGAGATGTCAATGCGGCAAATAGAGGTCATGACTATAGCTAAAGAGAGAGTGATGAAGGACATGAAAGAATCTCATGAAAGATTTATGGCCAGAGAAATTGAAAAGAACAACCTACTAGAGAAGGTGCTCGCGGGCTACCGAGACCACTTTATGAAGTTGGGGCAGACTTTAACGTCTCTGGATCACACCAACGATTCTCTAAGGGCGACTCTGCAAACCCCTCTTCGCGGCGGAGGGAATGGCAGGACCCTCACAGCGCCGCACGCGGCAATGCTAGAGGAGGACACACAGTCGTCATCTGTTGACGCAGAGGAGTCTGACCCTGCCGTTATAATTACTTGTAGGCTTTGCGGCCGGCAGACTGCGACGGTGTTGCTCTGGCCGTGCCGCCATCTCTGCCTGTGTCAACGTTGCAAGGCTTTGGCCAACCGCTGCCCGATCTGCCAAACGGTGTTCGAAGTCGACGTCGAGATTGACTTTTCTGTCTAAGCTAAATATAGCCAACATCTTGGTTATTTGTATGGAATCTTTGTTTTTTACTATTACAATGAAATAATTAAATAGTGCATATTTAATTTTCTTAGAAAAATGGTGCTAAATAGGACCAAAAATAACTTAATATACCTAAATAGGAGTCCAAGCTTTTTAACTCCTAAATAGGATTTATTTTTCCGTGTCTTCCCAATTTACCTCTATTATATTACTACTACTCCCTGTCTCCCTCCGTCCCATAAAATTGTTCCCACATTGACTTGGATCGGAGTTTAAGAAAGTGGGAATAAAGTGGAAATGTATGGTTGTGGTTGTGTAAAAAAACGATAAATGAATGTGAACCACACAAAACTTTCCAAAAGCGGAAAGTGGAACAATTTTTTGGGACGGCCCAAAAAGGAAACGGGAACAATTTTTTGGGACGGAGGGAGTATTATATTATTACCTTTGTCTTTTCCAGTTCACGCACACAGCCATAGGACATGGGATTGGGGGAGCAATTTACGGGACAACAGATCAAAGGCAGCTCGCGGAAAATTAACGGGATGAGGCGGTGCGGCCGCGCGCCGCTACCGGCGATTGCAGCGGTGGCAACAGGTCTGAGCTGACACTTTCTCCTCCTCAATAGGTCTGAGCCGCCGGCGATTGCAGCGGAAACTTACGGATCTCTTCTTCTTTTTCTCTACCTCCTCAACTTTCTCCTCTTCTTATTTTCTCTCTCGCGGCTGTTTTCCTCTCGCGCCGGCCTTTGTCTCTTCTTATTTTCCTTTCGTAGATGACCTTATCCGTGGGGTTTTTCTCTGATGCCACCCTATTTTAGAGGGCACGGATGCACCACTTTTCAGAGATTGACATGTGTACAAATATGGCCATGTGTGCTGGTCATATAGTCAACACTTATGTAATAAATTTGCACAAGCAGTCCCTCTAACTCCCGACCTATGCCGTTAACATACGTCCTTCAGGTAGATCTGGACCGAGGCTCCTCTCCCGTGAATAAGCAGTCCGCTCTCCTCTAAGTGAGATAAAACAATACTCCGTACTTTTTTCAATTTGCAAATCTTATCCGTTCCTCTTTGCCCGGACATAGTTTTTTTGAGTTCACAGCATAGCTTCCATCTACGATTCCCTCCCTGATAATCGGATTGAACTATTGGTAGCTCATTCTGGGCGGCCTAACGGAGTCTCCTGGACGGTACCCGTGGGCGGTGGCCTCAGGACGACATTTGATCTTCCCTCTTCCGGTCGGGGCCATCGATTCTGGCCAGAAATGTTCAATGGCAGAGTAGCTCAGGTAGTCAGGTATGATATTGGTAATTTGATTTCCTTTTTTTTTTAAATTTTTTTGGGTAGTCTTAATCAAGTTTTTTTTTGTACTTCTATACTCAGTATAATCCTTATTTGCTTTGGTTTACAATATTTTTATCATAATTTTCTATATTGAATGTGTTTATTTATTCCTAATTTCAGCCTAATAAATTATTTACTGGGAACTTATCATACTTTTATGAACTTTTATTTGAACGCAATTGTTGTTAAATTTTTAATGACCAGTCGGGAATAAGGTCCCTATTGTCAAAAGGGGAATGAGTAAAAGGAATAATGACCACTACATGATTCCCCAGATTTCGATGATGATTGAAGATTGGGAGGGAAAAGGGCTGTTGAGATGGATGGTGACAAACTAAAAGGATTAGGAAAGAAGAACAAGAAAGTTGTGCGTGTCAAATTAGAGATAAGCTGAAAAGGATGGTCTATGTTGTTCATATGAGTTTATAAGATCATGGCTATTTTGTATGTCCCTCTGTAGTTTTAACTAAATGTGTTCACAAACAAAATAGAAATAATTACATAAATATGACTAAAATAAAGATAGTTTGCAAAAATATGACTATTTACAACAATCATCCAGTAGCTATTTGTTGCAAGCTCTTACATACGCAGTGCATTGGTTTTCTGGCTGGAAGTCTGACTGTAATTAGTAGTTTAGGAACTGCCAATACATGGTCAATCTAACCAATCAAGCCTCTTGAGTTGTGGACCATTATTAAAATTTGGTCAATCTGACCAATTAAGCCTCTTGAGTTGTACTATATTGCATCAGCCCACCCTATAATTGTGTCTTTCCATTCTAGCTTTATAATTGTGAAAGATGAAAACTAATGTCTGATGAAATTTGTTTAACCTTGGCAACTAGAAAGTGTTACCCGTCAACAATATCTCTTACATACAAACTGGTTGACCTCCACAGATTTGGTCTCAAAAGTTAGAAGCAAAAGATTATAAAAAACCAAGGTTTGCATAATTCAAATACCTTTGGACTCATAAGTTATAGGTTCAATAAGAGTGACCAAATCACCCTTCCACTGCCTAGAGATTGAGTGTACGTAGTTTCCAACACTAAGAAGAGATACTAGACATATTCCACAATAGATTATTCATCATTAAACATGAGTATAAGGAGCACTATTTTTTCAAGGAAAGAGACAAGGGTTCATAAATCATAACAAAAAAGAGTACATATTGCTTTCTCTTGCAACCTTAGCTGCTCTCTCTCAAGCAACGACTTAGGTTTGTATAACTTTTATGCATTACTATTCAATCCTGAACAAATTAGTTTTCAATCATTTACAATAAATATTCACACTTTTAGTTTAGATTTGTATGATTCTATGCATTTCTTTGTTATTTTACTTACTGTTTGTGAACAGAATATATCCATAATCATCATTATATCCATGATTATTACCATAGATATGTTTATAATCACCTGTAGGCTGCTGGTAGCAGCAAAGTTCCCAGTCCTTGGGACCTCGGCTCCTGTCGACCTCGCTCCACCCTCTACCCCACGGTGACTGCCCAACTTAGTCATCTGTCCTAGCCTTCTCCTTCGGACTATTAGACTCCTAGCTCACGGATTGACGAAGAAGGCACGTATTGAGGTACTACATATTCGTCTCACACTGTGCTAATTTTCTATATGCCTTATTGTTATTACCTCCCATTCTCGGGTTTACCTAAAAATTAGGAATTTTAAAACCTAGTCTCAAATTTTCATGAATTGGTATACCAAATGACCACAGTATGAACCTAACTTGTAATTTTGTAAGTGACTAAATGAACTTGCATTAAGTAGTGTAAAATGTTTAACTTTTAAATGAATTCTCTTCAAGAAGTGTTACTCCTACTTTTAAGAACTTTCATAAATTTTTACTTTTTAGATTGATTTATTACTCCTACTTTTATTATTACCAATGTTTAGGATGTTGGAATTTTAGATAAAACTAGACAATGTAGCCTCTCTTTTGGGCAGTTTTGCCAATAAACATATCTATCACTACAACAAAATAGACTTTTCGTAACAGTTTCTTTGTAACATTTTTTTATTTGTTGCATATAACATTTAGAGTTTGAATTATGCAACACTTATGAATAAGTATTGCATAAACCCTTAAAGTATGAGATTATGCAACATTAAATAAAAGGTGTTGCATATGAGTAAGGGTTAGCCGGTTAGGTAACATTTATATTTAAAATGTTACATAAAAACAAGTATTATACCGAGAAATGAATTTGGGCCGCACTTAATCTGAACCGTCATTCCACACAAATTTTACTCCTATCATTTTTATTAGGTCTGTTTCGAAACTTTTCCTACCATCTCCAGTTCGCCACCCTATCTTTTCCTTGTCTCAAGAGTCCCCTGGGAATATGGTATCTTTTCTGTTCTTCCTTTTCTTTTCTGCAAATAAATTGAACAGGGCGACGAGAATGGGAGGAAGAAAGGAAAGGTAAATTAACCGCCGCTGCTAGGAGTGCTGAAGCGCCAACTAAGCCGCCGCTGCCGCAGCTAACTAGCGCCGAGAAACTACTACTGCCGCTAATGAACACTTACAAAGCTACCAGCGTCGCTAGTGAGAGCTATCGAAGCCACCACCACCCTTTGCTACCTCTTTCGTTTAGCCACCAGTCCCACGTACCACCCAAGGTAATAACCCTTCCATTTTGTTAATTTTTTAGGTTGTTGCAGTTTCTTATCCTGGTCTTACGTTTAAACTATGTTAGTTATGTTATTTAGTGAAATGTTTCATTATTATGTATATATATTTATATGTCGTTCATGATTGAAATATTGCTCCAAGTGTTATGTTTCATTGTTTCATTCTCAATATGCTACAGTGAAATATCTATTCGATATTAAAAAATTTGATCTAACTAGTTACGTGACCATGGGTTAATTAACAACCTGTTTCACTCTGTTTTGTTTGATATTTAACTGAATGATTTATATTTGTGTTAAACTTATCATCTATCATTGGTATGCTTATCTATCAAATACATAGATGATAGATCTCCATTTAAATGTCAATTTTGTTGAAGAGGCTATCTGGAAGTGGAGTTTCTAAAGAGTGGACCTTAAGATGGAGTAATATGTGTAGAATAGGTGTACTCGCAAAAGGCCCGATGTTATACCGATTAGCCGTGTATCCAACTGTAATTATAACAAGTACAAATGGACACAAAATGGTACCTGAAAAAACAATGGAGAAGCTAACTTTCCCCACCTTCATAAAAATGATTCGAAATTATGGTATTATTATTATACTATCAGAAAGAAGTGTATTAAATTTGCCCATGGTAGGAATGGTCCTGAACTCCTAACATTGTTTGAAATATGATTATAGTTTATAGCTTTGAAGTATTAACCGGCCATGCTGACCATCTATGCTACACATACCAGAAGCATATTTAGCGGGAATTTTTCTGTTGGACCACAGGAAGGCTGACAATTTATATGCTTTTCTAGACTGCACCATTAACAAGTAAAATTAAACAAAATGATAGCAACATGCCTTTTTGAAGGTTCATGCCTTAGTTTCTTAAGTTTGGTTTTAAAATGTCCTTTATTTATTTTAGTTCCAGTTTAAAGTTTTTGGATTTCTTCATTATTTTAAGTTGAGTAGATATGTAGGCATATTTTTAGTTCTAGTATATGCTTTCCTTGAATTTGAGTTGCTTTAAAAGCAGATTTAACAGCTGTTAGTATAATGAGATCTAAAAAATGTCATGTATTTATTTTAGTTCCAGTTTGAAGTTTTTGGATTTCTTCATTTTTTTTTAATTTGAGTAGCTTTGAAGGCATGTTTTCATATTTTAACTTTTAGCATATTCTTGGCCTTCTTGTAGGAGTTGAGGTATGAAGTTTGTATTTTCATTGTTTCTTTTGGCTTATTGATTTGTTTTTAATTTGCTCCTTTTAATTCTGTTGAACGTTAACTAATGCTAAAACAGAAAAAAGAGAATATCTAAACAGACTGAAGAAACATTATAGTGGATGCTGAAATTTGTTTCTCTTGGCTAATTGATTTGATTTAAGGAATATTACACTTCAAGTCAAACTTCTGCTTTGAAATAGGCTAAATTAATTTTACATACTCTATTACTCTTCAGACTATTAGTGTCGAATTAACATTCTGTGTCCAGAAACTAATTAATTTTTATTGTCAAATAAGTTCAATAACAAGCTACTTGACTTGGGCTTATTTTTTAAGTAAAATGACCAAGTCTTAAAAAAAGTAAGCAAGGGTGGAAAAGGATACTTAATATTGTGGGATTCCAATTTGTTATGGTGAGGGCAGTTGGCGCTACATATATTGAATCTAATGACTATTTTAGGCTACCTTTGGGAAAACAACTTCTGTCAGCTAGTTGATAGTCGATAACCAAGCTGAGATGACAGTTTATAGCTGGAAAGCTAAAAACTAACTTCCTGCACTTGGTTGAACTTGACACCAATTTTAAATTCTCGATAGAAGTTTGACAATATAGTTTTGTTAGAACAACTAAACTGAGACATAAGTCACTGCTCAAATGACTAACTAACTTATGAAATTTAAGATGGAGATAAAGATAGCAAAGAGGAAGACGATGCCATCACTTATAAACATGTTGAAGACGGAGAGAATGGTGATGATCTAAATGAACGGGTTGAACTCGAAAATGATTTAACTATAGATGACGGGCAACAAGGATCAATTAAGTATTTTGAACTTCATTTATAAAGAAACAACACTTTCAATTATTTTCATTTGCATCATCTATGAGTGACATATTTTATCTAAAAGAGAATGACCACTATATTTTTATATGTACTTTGCAGATTCTATAAAAAAAGAAAAAAAACAAGAGGTCCTACGGAATTGGAGTTAGTCCCATCATTATAAGTTTTTTGTGTTAGTTCATACATGTATTGCTTAAATAAAAATATTGAAATCTGGGGGCCTGTACAAAATGTTTCTCTCCAAATCAATGGGCTTGATGGGGATCATAACCGCTTCAAAGTTGAGTTTCTAAGCACTGATGTTATGGTTATTTAGTGTGGGAGAAAGTTAAATTGTATTCCTATGATTTCAAGTCCAAAGAAACTAAAGCTCTAAACCAACCTGGTGCATGCAGAAACATATGATGCTACTGTATGTGTGTTATACGTGAATAGCCTTGTGTCACTTTGATCCTTCTTGAAAGTAATACAAGTGTAGTTTCATTTGACTGAAGGTGCTGGTTTTAATATAACATTCATAAGTAATAAAAAAAAAGTGTAGGAGTAAATCGGGTGTTCGCATAAAGGTCTGGGACTTAAATTTGGCTTTTTCTCTACTATAACCTTTATTAATAGAATTGTTTCAATTGAATTCGTCTTCTTAATATAAGCATATATAATTATAGTATACTAAAAACTGCAGACTTAAAATGCAGCACTTGTATATATATCTACCTTAAAACTTTTATTCCTTTATGATCTCTATATGGTGTATTTATTATATGGTGTATTATTTTATTCATTGTTTTATTCATTGTTTCTTTTGGCTTATTGATTTGTTTTTAATTTTCTCCAATAAAGACATTGCTAAGGCAAAAGAGACTGATCAGTCTTATTCAATGACTAATCATATGGATGCAATTATGAACACTTTGAAGGAGTTTGAAGAGGAAAACAAGAAAAAGAATCTTGAAATAGAACAAATGCGCAAGGAACGCGAGATTGAGAAACGGAAAATGAACTGGTTCTATCAAAGCTTGATGCAATGATTCCAGATCATGATGCAACTTCACTTGAATTATACACTTGAAGAAATCAAGTTACATGTGTTCCGTCTATTTGGTTTTCTGTCAATTTAGAATATTATATTTAGTTACTATTAGAAGTATTCATTGATATTCTAGTTTTTTTTACAAATTGGATAATGTTACTTTTTCAGTTTAAGATACATTATTCGAGATGTGTTCAGGATGTGTTGGAATGTGTATAACAGATTTACATGCATGTTGTTTTATATCTAAAGGTGTAATACAAATTATCAAAAATTTGTGTTGCAAAATGGTTAATATAAGTGAAGTGTTGCATATTAGGTGTAAGTGTGTTGCAACCTTTGAAAAAATGTTGCCAAAAATATTCATTAAAGTGTTACGAAATATAATTAGTGTTGCATAATAATATAGCAAATATGTTACATAAATATAAAAAAGTGTTGCTTAAAGTCATATTTTAAGTGTTGCATTTTATCTCAAAAAAGTGTTGCGTTAGATGTTTGTTAAAGTGTTACAAAAAAAGTGTTGCATTTGGGACATTCTTGCAACATTTTTAAAAAACGTTGCAAAAAATGATAAAAGTGTTGCATATAACTTTATGCAACGAGACCTGAAGTAACGCCCATAAAAGTGTTACATAAGCCTTTTGTAACACTATAATGATCTAATGTAACACTTTGTAAGCGTTGCCAAAGACTTGTTTTGTCGTAGTGAATGGTAATAATATTTAACGTGATATCATGAATGGAATCTATGAACATGTATAATATATTTTATAAAACATGAATGCATAACAAGATACACTCATGAAAACTTGTTTCACGTGTGCTTTTATTGTACTTTTGTTAGTATTAGTTTAGTCGTCCTTAGCAATATTATAATTAGTATTTTGATGTACACTCTTTATCCCATTTTTTTACATTTGTGAAACTATAATTTTATTTTTTATTGTTTATTTTAAATGACTGTAATATAGATGGACAATTTTGTTCGCGAGGAATTTGCTGATTTTGGTCATGATCAAGATGATATTTTGGATGATGAGCAAGAAGTTATATTTGACACTGATGATAGTGATTGCGAGATTAGTACCGATGATGAAAATCAGCAGGGTAGTGAGAATGAAGACAACATTCAAATACCAGCTACTGATCATAATTTTAGAAGGATATATGACATATCATCTAATGAGATTCGGGATTTGGAATTTGATACTCAACATGAAGCTTGCAAATTTTTTCAAACATATGCAAGATGTAAGGGGTTTGTTGCGAGGAAACACAATCTTGCTCGAGACAGGAATAATAATATTACAATGCAACAATTAGTATGTAATAGAGCTGGATTGAGGCAAAAAAAGTACTTGGAGAAGGTAGATGGTGATGGTGAAGGCGATGATTATAGTAATAGTGATGTTAGTGATCTGATGACAATAATGATGATTATGATGACGATGTTGCCAGTGAAGATGATATTGTTTGAACAAAACTATTACTACTAACTGCGTACGAGTAATTGGACAATAGTCATTATGTTGTATTACAGAATGACAAATCATTAAAACTTTTGTGTTTAGAATTTACTCCTTCCTTCCCGAAATAACTTTCCCTCTTTTCTTTTCGATCCGTCCCTAAATAATTGTGTCATTTCCATTTTTAACAATAATATATTGCTTATATCTCACATTTTTTTCTACTCAAATCTCAACCTGCAACTTTTATTTTTTCTACAACTTTCTAAAAACTTTTATTTTTTCGACGACTTTCTAAACAATAATTGAGTTGTTGGGACGTGGGAGTAATTTAGTAATATCCATGGAGATAAAAATTGTAAATTTTCTATATTTCCTTCTCGTGCGATGCATGACCGAAAAATAATATGCGATAAATATAAGTTCAATTGTAATATTATCTGTATAACTTTTCTTCAAAACGTAACTACAATATTTTTATTTCATATGCGCACATATTTATATAATTTGTGATTTAATTCACGCTAAAAATACGAACAACATTTAAAACTACGAATTGAGATTTTTCAAATTATAGAATTTATATAGTACTGATACAAATTACTCCCGACGTTCTTTAATACTTATCCCTTTTTCCATTTTGAGTTATTTTCTAATATTTGTCTTTCCATTTTGGAAAGTTTTTTAAATAAATAGGAAAAGTTGATAGTGACAATCCCAACTATTGGCGGTTTAATCATAATAATCTCAACTATCAATTATTTCAGAATAATCCCAACTTTAGGGACATTCTGCCAATAATGGTCCCTATAAATAAATTCTTGTAGTTTCCAAAGTGGATGAGAAGAGATATAACAAGTAATCCCTATAAATAATCCCAATTTTTATTTGTTACGCTTAACTTCTATTTAAAATTCACTTTTTATAGGAGGTAATATGTGGTCATGGACCATTATTTGCGGATGGTTCATATAGTTGTGATTATACAAAAATAATCAATGGTTGGGATTATTGTCAGCGTTTCGCCAATAGTTGAGATTATTATTTTCAATTTTCCCATATACCCATTTCCTGTCATTCTCTTTCATATTTTCATTCTCTTTCATACTTTTTCATTTAAATTAACCCACTACATCATTTACATAACCCCTATTAATTTCCTCTTTAAACTTGTGCCAAACTCTACAGGGACAACTAATGGAGAACGGAGTGAGTATGAGCTATTTGAATTATTTCTCCCATTGCTTTTATGAATACCCGTGCGTACACATCTTAAGAGATTTTTATCAATTCAGGACCTGAATGATATATGAATAATAATCCAATGTCTGGAAGATGATATGTATTGCTGTTGGACTCGAATGATGGGGAACTATCAATCCAGGGCCTAAATTTCCCCAATTTTTTACTATTATCAGATTTTTTATAAATTCCATTGCTACTTTTTCAAACTTTTCTTCACAAAAGTTTACTACAAGTTTACTACCTCCATAACATTGGAATCTTCCCAAATCGAAATTAGGTGAGATTATGAATAGTGTAGAGGATATAAATTATTGATGGTATGATGGAAAGATAATAAAATAATGTGGTGGAATAAAGGATAAATCTGAAAAAAAAAAAGTAGGTGTAATAGTGTATTATTATTAAAATAATTGATGGCATGGTGGGAAGATTTATAAATGGGAAGATTATTTAGTTACGGTTAAGAAAGGAAAATGGGAAGATCTTTGTGTTACGGATGTATTATTACTTTAATAAAAATAAATAAGAAGTAATAATTAAACTTTTTAAATTAAATTAATAATAAAATACATGATAACTTGGATTCTAAATTAATAGTTTTCAAGCACTCAGGTAAAAAAATGATAGTTTTTCATCATCTAGACCCTATATCGACACATTTCATCTTTTAGATCTCGAATTGATAAAACGTCTTTCTGGGATTGATTAAATTCAGATATCACTTATCACAAACATAAATGAAACTTTAATTTATTGTAAAAGCTATCCGGGGATGCATGTTGATAATATTAACCAAAGATTGAAGTAGATAAATTCTAATATAGTCAAGTTCTAAAAATAACCATGCCACCTACTGCCAAGACAACTTGCAAGGTCTGCAGACAATCATATATAGAGCGGTCCTAGTATCCTGCAGGTGATGGATGACCTACTGTCAATTTTTGTGAGCTATACATGAACTAAGTATAGTGCCTGAACATAACGAGTCCATAAGTATGTTACACATTAAATAACAAACATACTTCCTAATATAGTGCCTGAACATAGACTAGGAAATTATATTCCTTTCTACTTATTTTAATTCAATGGCTCCAACCGGTAGATCACTCCAGATGTGTTCTCGTGCTAGGAGAATGGAATCAATTCGAAGAACAAGACCTACACCACATGACATGAAGAAACAAATGAGAACTGCTGCGATAATAGATTTATCTTCAAGGTTTATCTTTATTCCATTGCTAGAACAATAATTCATTCAATCCTTTTTTGACAGTTGCACATGTGTGTATGTTTATCGTTCACGAATAAATTCTCTAGCATAAAACTATTGATTGTTGAGCAGTTGAGCCCACTGTCATTGTAAATATCTAAAGTTTACCTTGTTCAGCAAATGTGAAAGTGCTCTTAATCTGGACTCTCCTGAAAAAGAAGTAGATAGCCCACACCGTCATGGTGCAAAGGATGAGATGGTACCATATCATTTCTAAATCAATACAATATATACTAAGCATTTCTATTCCGACCAATTTTGTAGTATTAAATTCATCTATTATTGTTGTGTATTCCACCTAATATGTTAATAATGTGAATCACAAAGATCACCAGAGAAGAGTTCATTGACCTCAAAACAACTGTAGCTGAGGTGACGAGGGTTGTCAACAATTTGAATCGTGTTATTGTGAAGAACGCCACCAGCGTATATTCTCCACAAGTTGCTCATGTTGGACCACCTTTATTGGTGACTGCATTCTCCACACCCAGAAATTCTCCTGTAACAAGCCCAAAGAGCATAATGAAAAAGTTTAACTCTCCTCTTGGAGAGAATCCCACATCCCCACCTTCCTCTTCTGAAAACCAAAAACAATCAAAAAAACTAAAAGATGAACCTCACTTCGGCAGAAAGTTGTTTAATCACAAGATTGAGGGAAACTCATCGGCGTGTTATTTGAACTTCAATCCAATGAACACTCCATTGTATGATGGAAGATCATCAGGGATTACTATACCGGATGTATGTATACTTGGTAATATAATTTTCTTACAAGCATTACTACTATATTAATAGGATGTTCACTAGGCTAACATATTTTGCAGTGTATCCCCGTTGTGTTCAGGCCTCCTCAAAGTATGGTATTGGATGAAATTGAAGCTGCAATTTCAGCATACATCTTTGGGCGTAATAAGGACACAACACACGATGGGTTTGTTAATATTCAATTTAACAAGCAATCTAATTTTAAATATCTTTTATATGATTTACATATTTCTATTTGAAATTATGACAACAGGAAAGAAATATTGAGTGAAACTGAATTCACAAATGGGAACAGAGAAACTTTCAAGACCCTAGTTCCAAAGGGAATGGTTGATGGGGAGGTGAAAGATAAACTGTTTTATTATGATTAGCTTTACCATGGTATTTGGGTTACTAATGTCATTAGTTTACAGCATCATGCAATTTATAAGTATCATTATAAATATCCAGGTACTTACATTGGTTGCGTGCATGCTCACATTTCAACAACAGTTAGTCTGTAAAAATGCAGCTTGCTGGTTTTTGCCAACCGTGTTTGCGGTACACATTTTGAAAAAAGTAAATAATATTTAAAAAATCTATACCAGTTAAATTACTTGATATTATTCTGTTTGTTCGCAGCAATATGTACTGAGTTGGACCGTAAGCCCAAAGACATTGATGGAGTATTATATGGAGCCTTTTATGGGAAGAGTAGAAGGCTTGACAAAGGTCTATAAATTTTTTAGTGTTCATTTTGAAGTCCTTTTTGCAGACGTACTCTAAAGTTGAACTTGAGTAAATTCACACAGATATTTGTTCCAATAAATGATGGAATGCTGCACTGGTACCTATTGATCATTGATATTAGAAAGAAAATGTTAATATTGTTGGACTCCAAAAGAAGCCCAACAAAAACCAGTGAAAGGAAAAGGACAACAAGACAAGTGGTAAATATGACATAATTAAATACTTTTGAGTCCATTTATTTGGAATAACACTTACTTCATAATGTACTTCATTTTTAAACATACAGGCAGTTTTTATGGAACAAATGCTATTGGACAATTCTTTCTACCAGTATCAAAATGCAACTCAAAAACCACAAATCTCAGAATTTGAGATAGTAGAGCCAAAAAATATTGGACAACAGGCACCACGCTCGTAAGAACACATCCTTATATTAAAATTACAAGTTACAACACTCACTTCTAATGTACTGTAATAATTAGCTACTGTTCAACCACACGCTCTTTATTAAATGTATCATTTTACTATTTTAGTAATGATTGTGGAGTTTGGGTTGCAACCTGGATGAAGGAATGTGCATGGGATGACATGTATAACATAAAGGTAATGAAATTACCATCATATTACACCACCTTTGAGTATTGTAACGATAGTGACATTTTTACTGAACAATCTAATGTAGGTCAATGTTGAGTCAAGGATGCGATTGACAATTGATTTGGTGAACAATCCTTACAACAATGTTAAGGATCAAATTATTCGACAGGCTTTTCACAATTGGAGAAAGCTTGAGACAGAAAACAATAAATTGGTGAAAACTGGCTTGACCTGATGAAGAAATTGCTTATTGATCTTTTTAAAAACGTTTCAGTATTCCTTTGAACAATGGTTTGATTTGTATCAGTACATTTTAAATTTCGGTAGATTACTTACCAGTGCATTTTTAATTTCTAGAGATAAGGATGGTAGGTAAGAATGGATACCTCTTGTTCTACAAATCTATGCTACAGAAGGCACTTGAATGGATTAGATTTTCAGTCATTTGATTTTCTAGGAGCTTAATGAACTAAGTTTCACATTGTTGAAACCTACTGACGACGACTAACAAACAAATGATTTGCATAAACATCTTTCATTTATTATGTTTGTCGTTTTTCACAAGTCTTAAACAAACCAAATAAAAGAAATGAATAATGAATGAGTAGCATTCATATTCAGGTTTAGCAATTGCAATACTACGTTTTTAGAGTAATGTAGCATAAAATAAAATATACGGAACTCAAAACTGAATTAAGAGTCATAATCAGTTAGAAACATTACATGGACCATGAATCAATGAACTTTGAGTATGCCCATTTGCGGACCATTGTGTTATCATCCTGAAATAGAAAAGGAAATTAGGAAAAACAAAATCATCTAAATTTGAACAACAATTGACTAGACGTATAAAGTTTGAGACCTATTCATGCATAAATGGCAGCAATAAAATTTGATAAAGTAGTTTGTTATACTGGTGATTTGTAAATGCATTAATAGACACTTTCACATAGACATATTGCATACATGTTCATATGCGGTGTAGGCGAATAAGAATTTAAAAAATTTGTGCTTCATAAAGTCATATATGCATATCACATAGTCATCTGATAAGGCTCTGTTGATTGTAATTATATACCTGGGACAAATAGTGTCAAGTCAGACGCTAATTAACTGTAACTATAATGTTTCATGTTTGAGACCTAAACTTGTAACTTGTTTATAGGTTGATACTCCGTGAAAGTGATGATTCATATATATCTTTTTTTCTTTCTTTTGGACCATTTTTTCCTGGCAACCACAACTATTTCACATTTTCACCTACTATTTTTGAGACAAAACTTCGCCATGAAAATCAAGAATCTGATACAGTAAGAGACGAATTTCCGTTGAACTCTAAATCACTAGTCTCCATGTCACTAACAATATCAAGACAGATCTCCATATCATTAACAAACTCAAGACAGCCTGTGGATGAAGACGGAGGGGAGGCAAATAGTACACTAAAACTCATAATAATAACAACACCCTTGATGTTGAACCTGCAAGACACTCAAACAGCCTTGAGTTTTACACTGTTCATTTCCATAGGCACCCTCACTTTCCTCTTCATAACCAGATATAGCGTCCTTAGGAATTACACCATCAAAGAAGAATGCATGCAGCATGGAAATAGCTTTCTTTCTTATTTCCATTCACACTTCTTCATTGTAATTTTCACTGCGTAGAAGTATCAGAACAATGGCCACCTCCTGGATCCATGCTTCCATCCATTGTGGCCCTTCACTCCTTCAGCTCCATCCAAAGCACAACCAACAAAGAGCCATCTATCAGAACTTGCTTTACTACACAATCTCATCTAAAATAAGGCAGCTACCTGTATTGACGAGAAACCCCCCAAGGCTTTATGTGCTGCAAACAATCGGCATTAATAATCTGAAATGTTTCATTTGTTAGCGCACCTGCAACATTATGACATCACTTGCAGCCGGTTTCTTAATATATGCACGCATATATATATATATATATATATATATATATATATATATATATATATATATATATATATATATATTTATCCACCATGTGCATTCAAATATATCATTAGTGTTATAGCTTAATTACGTATATGTTAAAAGCAAGACAAAATGTACTACGATAGTCATACAGTTCATTCCAAACAATACTCTACAATTAAGAAACTATAGCATACTACTGCACTATGGTCTTGATAAAACTATTACCCCAATTGATACATCAAGGCATACTTTAAAAAGAAATGCAAATGTCAAACATAGGTGAGGTGTAACACAAAACTCACACATTAACAACATTAGGGGCCATTTATTGAGAACATTTACTAAAGCATCTATATAGAAAAATGAAACATTGCAAGTTAATGAGAAATAAACCACGTGGACAATATAAAGCAAACTACCAAGTGCAACAAGAACAAAAAAGTCAACAACTTACCGAACAAACATTTGTCGAGAATGATGATTATAGAATGTTTGGTTATGGATCACAAGTGTACACATTTAAAGTTAACACTGGTGATTGGAGAAAAACATTTTTTAAAACTTTTTTTTATCATACATTTTTTAAAACTTTAAAAAATCACCATAATAATTAAAATAAGGCTGAAGCTACTTTTTGTAGAAAATCATTTTAACTATTTTAAAATAGGAAAAATTGAAAATAATAATCCCAACTATTGTCGGTCCGCTAACAATAATCCCAACTATTGATTATTTTTGTATAATCCCAACTATGTGAACCATCCGCCAATAATGGTCCATGACCAAATATTACCATCTATAAAAAGTGAATTTTAAATAGAAATTAAACGTAAAAATTAAAAGTTGAGATTATTTATAGAGATTACTTGCTATATCTCTTCTCATCCACTTCAGAAAATACATGAATTTATTTACAGGGACTGTTTTTGGCGGAAGGACCCTAAAGTTGGGATTATTCTGAAATAATCGATAGTTGGGATTATTATAAGCGGACCGCCAATAGTTAAGATTATTACAATCAATTTTTCCTTTAAAATATTTCTCTTTATTTTCTTACTAAAATGAATTTTAAGTATATATTTCCACAATTTCAACCCATTCAACCGCTTTAAACCGAATTTCATCAATTTTGACAGATTCAATCAATTCCGGTGTTATCAAACGGACTTGAAAATAAACAATACAAAAGGCACAATGGGCTTCGTGGATGACTAATAGAGAATCTGTGTCATTCACTTTAGTTCAACTATTGTTTTATAAAGTATATGATGATTATTATAACAAAGTACACGAAATAATGTACATAAAATATTTTTTAAGTATATTTTTCCATAATTCAACAAATTCAACCCATTCAGCCGCTTCAACATGAATTTCATCAATTTTAACAGATTCAATCAATTTCAGTGTTATCAAACGGACTTGAAATTGAACAATACAAAAGCATAATTGGGCTTCAGGGTGACTAATAGAGAATTGTGTCACCCTCAACTTTTAACTCAACTTTTGTTTTATAAAGTATATAATGATTATTATAATAAAGTACGTGAAATATCTAAATTGAAACAAACCAAACACCACTCTCATTTTTTCCCTAGACTTCATAAGTGCACCTATGGCTACCACATATTAATGGAATCTCCATGTCCTAACTGTGGTCATGAGATGATGAACCATGGAACTTAATGATTTCATGATGTTCAACCTGGAAGAAAATATTAATAAAATCAGTCCTTTTACAATGATAAACACAAAAGTCACACATATAAGTGTATAATCAGAAATCTCATAGTTCAAAAAATGCAGCTTTCTTTTAAACAGTTGAATTCAGACATGGAGTTTTTTGCTAACATGGCAAAGAAGATAAATGATCATAGTAGTTCTATGACTTCAACTCACTCATCTTCTTCCCGTGTGATTGCCAAAAAATCTGGGCTGCACAGAGTGATTAATTCTCATCCTCCTTTCCCTTTGCTCTTAGCTTCATAGTCTCAAGAAAGAGCTGCATTTTTAAATTTAGAGAGGCTGAAGAGTTTGTCATTTCTAATTTCTTATGAGAAAAGAAGTTTAGACGAATTATGAACTTATAATCAAAGTCATATATTTCATCTAAGTTGCTAATTAGGAATAATAATATTAATATCATTATGGTACTCATTATTTCTATTCCAGAAAAAGGCACCCACATGTGTGATAGGGCCAGACCCATCCTATCATATTTTACTCATAATTGAAGAATGCAAGTTAAGAAGGGGGCGGGGCAGAGCCCTTATGCCAACAGCCAACCCCCCCAAAGAAGAGAAAAAAAGACATTTTAAAATAATGCCTAATAGGTGCTAAAACAGGGAGCATATTGTTAGGTAGAATGTAAATAGGCATACTCTTATGAAGATAACAATAGAGTAAATAGAACACATTAAGATATAATCAAATAAACCACTTAATTTATTTATAGTAAATAAAGTTTTGTTTTCAGAAAAAAGTTCTTATATGCTCTAATAGAGTAAACTTTTACTCTATTTAATTGATTTTTATTGGCAGGCCCAAACTAAGTGTAAATAGGCATATTGTTAGGTAAAATGTAAATAATTTGGAATAACACACCATACATGTAATAAGAATAATCAAATCGAAAGAAACAGAAAGATGTGAAATTGAATGAGGAATTACCTTCTCACCCACTCCTGGTCTCCATGGATCACATTAAAGCTCTGAAAATCAAATTTATAAGAAATAATCTAGGAAAGCCGTAATTAATAATAAGTGAGACAAATTGAAAGGCATAAATAGAGTGAAATTGAATAAATAATGATTATAGAACGATGATTATAGAATGTTTTGGTTATGGATCACAAGTTTACACATTTAAAGTTAACACAAGGTGGACGAACGCAATACCCAATCTAAAAGACCCTAAGTGCTTCCTTATCGAGAATGCCCAGTTTTAACTCTTCCTCCAGAGCCGTTACAATGTCAATATTGTCAAAGGTGTGAGGGTAAACTATTGAAAGTACACTAATACAAATTGCAAAACGCAAAACTGCCAGCTCCAGAATGTGAACTTCTGGGATGGTCAGTGGACACTGTCTGATAAGTAATATGTAAAGGAATAAATGGATAATACACATATTTTTGTTTCAAGATTAAATGAGAAACTACAAGGATTAAAAAAATAGCAATTGATTCATGATAGGGAACATTTATTTGTAATTGATTCACGAGTAAGCAAATATATGGAGCCACATCTGAGGAAACGGTTACCACATGATTTCATTCTTTCTTTAACCTTCAACTTCTGGGCAAGCACAACATTCTCATTTGCTAATCTGGACGTCTCTGCTAGTAATGTTGCAAATGTTATCTTACCTGCAATTGGGAAAATAATTACTATATGAAAATTAGCATCCCTTTGATCATCAAGTACTGGTTGGGTGTAAATACTATATAAATCTCAGCTTATCACTCAAGACACTTGCCTTCCGACTGATATAATCTGAATACACAACTACAAATCTACCACAAATCCCAACAGAACAAAAGAAGACATAGCATGCGGACTAGATCACAATTGAAGCAATTCCCTTGGGCTTAGCTATATTTATTTTTATTTTTTACTTTCCTAGTTTCTTTTTCTTGTCCTTTTCCTTTGGCACTTCTTTTTTCTGTTTTCTCTCATATTCTTGCACTGTATACCTCCTTTCATTTCTCAATAAAATTTTCCTTTCACAAAAAAAAATGTAATTGTTCAGAGCATCAGGACATTATCATATGTCACCCAGATTGAACTTCCTATCTTCCTCACATTATTATTAAGTTAAGGTTATACTCAACCAAAAGGTGGGATCCCTCGCCTAAGTGACTCCATAAAAAGTTTAATGCTCATGTTCAAAGTCATTACAATACCCATACAATATTATTCTCAATGATTTATATTTCCAGTTTTCAACCCTTGAAAACTACTTGTATTAATTAATTTTGGGAAATTGATGTCACAAGGGGGAGGGGGGCTAATCCTTTAATTAGGGAATGACAATCAATCACACATTGTTCTGGATGCGTTTAATACAGAGGGCGAACCTGTGCAAGATCTCGGAAGGAAGAGTGCGGGTGGGAGGAGTCACGGTGAGTAGCAGACGCTCTAATTGCCTGGGCGGCCAAACCCTGAGACGGTGAAGAAGAAAACGAGAATATTTGTATCCTCCTCCTGCGAACTGCGAAGGTCGGAAAATATACATTGAATATGGCCAACACCGTAATGCCATTGCCATTCTTTCTGTTCGGATTCAATCAGTGCAATTACCCGTTTGTTTGGTTAAGAACTCTCGGTCCAGATTTGAGCCTCGGGAGAGCGGACTGGTTATTGTACGGAGTATTGTTTTATCTCACTTAGAGGAGAGCGGACTGCTTATTCACGGGAGAGGAGCCTCGGTCCAGATCTACCTGACGGACGTATGTTAACGGCATAGGTCGGGAGTTAGAGGGACTGCTTGTGCAAATTTATTACATAAGTGTTGACTATATGACCAGCACACATGGCCATATTTGTACACATGTCAATCTCTGAAAAGTGGTGCATCCGTGCCCTCTAAAATAGGGTGGCATCAGAGAAAAACCCTTATCCGTGTCATTCCAATCGTTCATGCAGGGCTGTTTGGTTTAAATGTTTTGTTTAACTAGTGTGAAGCCCGGGGCAATGCCCCGGTAGGTAGCTCATCAATTTGACCACGATTAAAATGAAAATACTTAGTGATATTGTGAATTATTCGTAGGATTCAAAGTTGAATATAATGCACTTTTCACTACAAGAAAAAGGTCTATTAGCGAAGGGAATATTGGTCGCAAAAAACAAAAAAGCAGTCGCTAATACTCATTTGCGACTTCAAAATCCGGTCGCCAGGCCGTCCCTATAGGCTTTGCCGCTAAAGCTATTTTGCGACCGGAAAAAACGGCCAGTCGCTAAAACTTATTGGGACTGCTTAAAATCCTGTCGCTAATGATAATATTTCATACCAGCTACCAAGAGTAATTGCGACTACTTTCCCTTCGCTAAAAACAACAGTTCAAGACACGATTATAAAATGAATGTATTTTTTGATTCTTTTTCTAATTATTAATTGATGAAAACATAATATATATATAATATGTGTATAATAATATGTAATGTATTATAGATGGATGTCCAAAACGATTAATAGAATGGTTCAAATAATTTCAAATATAACCAACTCAATTTGTAGTACGTACAATTCAAAATAAAGTAGCTAGGCATCAATTTGATATTCATCATAAAGTAGCTCCCAACTGTGTCTCAAATCTCAGAATACTTATACAAAAAATGTCAAGTTTGAACAATGCAGGGTTATGCAGCCGCAAACTTCATTTCAAGCTCCTTAATTTAGCCTTTGTTTCCTTGACATTGTAACATCTCTTTAATTTTTTGCAGCTCATCTTCTAGTACACCAACACGATTTTTCAGGGATCGGTTTTCTTCTTCAGATGAAAGCAACCTGGCCTCAAGCACACTTTTTTTAGAAGATGGCCCCTTCAAATCTTTGCGACTCACTCCACCTCCATAGCAAACAACATGACCACGTTTTTGAGGTCCAAAACACTTCTCAACTACATCAAAATGAGATAATGATGGGTCCGCCTGAACCACCTCACGTATTTCCTCCTGCGTGATATATTAATGTATAATTTTTTTGATTGTTTATTAATGTATATATTAAACAGAAAAAAACTTATTAGCAAGGAAAAAATAGGATATTAACTTACATATTTCTGAATTGTTTCCGGTTCCACAAGTTGATCTTTCTTCTTGCGAGTTTCATAGAAGATAACATCCATATTTGGCGGATTATCATCTTCACCCCCCTTCAAATACAATATATAGTAATGAATATTATATGCATAATCAATTTTCACAACACACACATTAATATTAAAAATATATACCATTTCAAAAATAAGCTGTCTAACCGGTTTGCTACCCATCCGATGTAGCATTGTCAGGTGACTTCTATTTTTGGAACCTCGCTCACTCTTTTCCTATTTTCATACAACATAATTATTTACTTTAGTCACACTTGACAACTGAAACTTAACAATCAACAATTTCAAATAATTTTTCACAGCAACATAAAGAATAAAAAACAATGACCTACAGTTGGAGAACTCTTCAAAATAAACACTAGAATGAAAGACATGTACCTTATACTCTGGAGTAAAATAATAATTCTTTATTAACCATGCCCAATCTTCCTTGGTTACACCACTAGGAATCTTTTTCGATGCTTCATGTGGGGTCTTGTTCTTCACATAATTCAAATGCATTCTTCCTCTCCATTTATTCCATAACTCTCTCATGTGCTTAAGGACATCATCTCGATGCTCTAATAGATCATCACCCTTGAATGATTCCTAATTAAAACAGATTTAAATTTGCATTACAAACAACTTTAATGGTCAGATACATTCCAACATAGCTAGATAATGCTTTTAAAAACTCATGCATTTAAGTAAACAATATCCATACCGTAACAGAAGCCCACATGTGATTTTTCTTCTCTTCATCAATTTCTTCCCATGAGCCCACCGTTAATGGACAGATTTGACGGTTACGGATTGTTTTCCCCAAATGCCTTGAATATACTTTATGATTTTTCCCAACAACACGATTGTTGTAAAATCTAACTTTGAGTTTCTCCCCTTTCTTTAAATTTGCTACTTCTTTACATTTATTTCTTCCCCTTACCTTCTTTTGCTTACTCGTGCCACTTGAAGCTAAAAGAACCATTATAAATCATTAGGCTATAAAACAATAAAAGATACGATAATAAAATTTTATAGGCTATTACCTTTAGCTTTTTTAATGGACATATTCTTCTCAACAACCTCAACTTCTTTTGGGGTAGATATTGCACTAGGCTGATTAGGTGAGTGACTAGCTGTAATGATATAAAACTAAAAAGGGTAAGAAAAGTAACTTAAATGGAAAATATAAACGCACAAAACTGATTTATGTAAAATAAAGAGTATTACAAAGGTCAACATTATGTTGTGGCAACTTATAGGATAAGGGTCGAGCCGTGTCATCCTTGTATAGATATATGATTATATTTTCCTGTCCCTCGTGTTCCTTCAACATATTGGTGATGTCTTGGTCACATCTCAATGGCCTCCCATCTTCATCAGTTATTTTTATCCCAACGGAATAGATATCAACAAACTTATGGCACATAGTCAAAATATCCAAGAAGCAACTATCTTGACTAAAGTTCTTTTCACGGTATTCTATTTCTCCAAAGTAGAGAATAACAGTGTGAGTTGTAAAAACACCTTAAGAAAAAACACATCATTAGAGTTTATCTTAAATCCAAAATAAATAAAAAATATTATTACAGCATTTGATGCCATTGAAATTGCACCATACCATAATCAGGAGCGTGTGTATCATGCACATAATGTACTCGTCCTTTAGAAGCTCCATTAAAACTACTGACAGGTTTATGAGAAAGCACTGATCGTAAACCTTGTCCACTGCCTTTAGAAGTGCACTTGCTTATTTTTTGCCTTCTGTGATGCTTGAAGGGATCTACAAATCAAGAAAATTAATTACTCAAAAAATGTTATACATACAAAAATCTAAGTTAATGCATTCCAGATTTTTATGTGATCCTAAAGATATATCCATACTGACCAAGATCCCAATTGTCATCATCACGTGATGAAACATTATCTATATCCATACTTGAATCGCGTGAAGGCAATGAGTGCAGCCCTTGCTTAGATCCTCCCTCTATCATACAAGTAACATCTTAAAAGAACATATAAAAACTGAATAAAGTGTCATGATCAGTCCAATATGAGTATAGATTGTTTAATTATTACACACATATTAGTGTTATTATTATCATTATTGTTATTATGATTTTTTATTACTCATATTAATTTAGCATTCAAATATGCGGACACTTTTACTCTCCTGAAGACTGCTATACCTGACACTCAGATTGTTTATCATTTTCACACACAAAAAGTTGTAGCTTACAAAGACAAAGTGAACAAATGGTATGAAATTTAAGTGTTTAACGACTAATACTCAGATTTACTCAAATAGGGACACAACATCTATAATTAAAAAGATGTAATGGGAAGTGAAAATATGGGTATACACCCGCTCCAGTAAAAAAAGATGGTGTAAACCAGGTTCATGTAGTTATATTTTTATATGCCATTACCCTTAACTTTTTCACTGGACACATTCTTCAGCACAAACTCAGCTTCTTTTGGTGTAGATGTCGCATTTGGCAGATTTGATGAGTGAGTAGCTGCAATGATATAAAACTAAAAAGTTAGAAAAGTACTTCAATGGGATAAATAAATGCACAAAACTGATTTTTTTATATTATTACAAAGATCAGCATTATGTTGTGGCAACTTGTACGATAAGGGTCGAGCTGTATCATCCCTGTATAGATATATGGTTATATTTTCCTGCCCCTCGTGTTCCTTCAACATATTGGTGACGTCTTGATCACATCTCAATGGCCTCCCATCTTCATCAGTTATTTTTATCCCAACGGAATAGATATCAACAAGCTTATGGCACATAGTCAAAATATCCAAGAAGCAACTATCCTGACTAAAGTTCTTTTCACAGTATTCTATGTCTCCAAAGCACAGAATAACTGTGTGAGTTGTGAAATCACCTTAAGAAGAAGAAACACATCATCAGGTTCGATCTCAGTCCAAATTTAATAAAAAAAAATTGTATTGCCAAAATCTGATACCATTGAAAGTACACTATACCATAATCAGAAGCACAACTATCATGCACATGATGTATTGGTCCTTTAGAAACTCCATTAGAACTACTTCCAGGTTTATGAGAAAGCATTGATCGTAGTCCTTGTTCACTGCCTCCAAAAGTGCACTTGTCTATTTTTTGCCTTTTAAGACGCTTGAGGGGATCTAAGAATCGAGAAAAATAATTACTATAAAAATGATATATATTCAAATGACCAAGATTAATATATTCCAGCTCTTTATATGATCCAATAATCTGTGCATACTTACCAAATTCACAATTCTCAACATCATGTAATGAAGCATCATTTATATCCATAGTTGAATCAGGTGAAGACATTGAGTGCAACCCTTGATTAGATCCTGCACCTATCATACATAGTAACACCTTAAAAGAACAATATCATGTCAACAACTTGCAGAAATAGAAGTCAGGTTGCTTGGGCCAATGGGGAACCCCTGCTCTAGTTAAAAAGTTGTATTGGGAAAGGAAAATATGGGTAGACACCCACTCCGGTCAAAAAGTTAGTGCAAACCAGGTTCGTGTGGTTATATTTTACTCATGACCAAACTGAATTTCTATTCCAAAAAGAGTACTGACTGATATCTAATTTCTCATCAATGGGGTTCATCGAAAATAGGACCAAACTAATCACCTCCAGTTTGAAACTTTCTTATAGTATATATGATTTATTGACTTATACCTTAGAGAAGACTTATGATGCAATAGATGATTTACCCAGGTAATTTATTTTAAAATCTGTATGAAGACAAAGAGCTATACCAAACTCTGGGCTGCCACTTTTATGAACAGTACCGAATGTTGATGTCATCTTAGAGTTACTGGAGAGCACTGAGCTAAGCCCTTGTCCAACTCCCCTACCTAGCATGCCTGGTTTAATGAATTTAGGCTTCGTTGGCCTTGCAATTCCAAGCCTATTTAAATTCATTCTGACCTGCAGAATTTTCAAACATGATTAGCTATTTTAATATATATATATATATATATATATATATATATATATATATATATATATATATAATAGAGAAAACAGATAAGGTATCCAAGGATGCTAACAAATTATCAAAGTATACATGTTGGGAAAGAAGACCTTTACTAATTGGTATTTTTTTTTCTTTTTTTGGATCGTTGTGCTGCACTTTCACTCACACAAATTGGCTCCATATCACATCTTACCAGATTATGTTGACCCTCAATATTACCCATTGTTGTTTGGAAGAAACTGGGAGAAGATGATTCAGCATTTTGAAATGCTTCATTTGAATGATTTTCATTTTCAAGAGTATCATCATCCATCTCTAATGGCATTGAATACGTATCACGTGGCTGGACTTTTCTCACAACATTCCAACCCTTATTGTTGTTATCAATAGCATAAAACACCTGGGAAACTTGGCTTGCCAAGACAAACGGCTCATTTGTCTTTAGAGTGCGCTGAAAATTAACACTAACAATTCCATATTCATCTATTCTAACACCCTTTTGTCTGTCATGTACATCCCACCATTTACAACGAAACAAAACTACTCGCTTTCCTCTGAGATATTGCAATTCAAGAACCTCAATCAACACTCCATAGTAATCAATGCTTTCATCATCAATACCATTTTCACCTATAACAACTACACCGCTATTTTGAGTCCTTAGCCCCTTTTCATGTTCCTCTATATGGAATCTGTATCCATTGCAAATAAAACCCTTATAACTTGTCACATATGGAGTAGGACCACGAGACAATGCAAGCAAGTCATTGACTTCTTCACTATGGTCAAGCTTATGCATTTGTGACACCTATGTAAATAAAATAAAAATCAGTACTTCATTTTGAAAAACATTGATGGTAAAGACCTTAGTGAATGTTAATTTCTAGCATGCTTACTCTAATTTTAAACCACTCAAGGAACTGGCAATCCCATTCTTTATCTGATAGAGCTTGCAAATCATTTCCTCCAACTTGTGAATATTCTCTATCAAATCAAAAACAATGAAGCTTCATTACTAAATGGTCGTCAAAAATAATTGTACACCACATTAGAAACTAAAA